GCACCAGTCTACACTCCCACCAACAGTGGAGAAGGTTCCTTTTCCTCACAGCTCCTCCAACACTCTATATGCTTCATTTATTTATATGTCAAATTCTTTATCCATGTTTGGGAGACCAGAGAAAGAGAGGAGAGAAAAAAGAGAGAGAGACAAAAACCCAAAAACAAAAATAGTCACAAAATATGAAACAAAACAAGACGATGTCCAACCAGACAGGAAAGGGATAGCCAATCAGACAAAGAAGAGAGAATAAAAGTCATAAAATACCCCTGGTGTTTACAGCTCTGTGATACTGTCCTTGTCAGATCTCAGAAGTGTGCTGTGTGCTCCAGCCTAGTTTGCCATGGGAATTGTGCTGGGTATGGAGCTGATCTCGTTCTCTGGATGTGGGGGCTGTGACTGGTCTTCCGTTGGCGGAGTTCTGCAGAGCCCAACTGCTGACTCCTTGATGCTGCTTCAGACACATCCACATTACTGGTCTCACTGATTACTCCACCTGCCAAAGGCATGTGTGTGCCTGCACTCCCAGGGCCTGGTTGTCCCAGGTCTTGGTATTTTGGTTGGTCTGCCCACCAAGGTGTGTTTGCACCCATGCACTTGGGGCCCAGCTCTCTTTGATCCATTTTCATTTCAGTTTATTGCATTATGATGGATATAGGTCTAGTTGTAGTCTTCAGCATGTGGAAGGCCACTTTTTCCAGCACCATTTATTAAAGAGGCTGTCTTTCTTCTAGTGAATGTGTTTGGCCCCTTTGTCAAAGATAAAGTGGCTAAGTGTATTTGGAGTTGATTCTAGATTTTCTAGTCTTTTCCATTGATCCTTGTGACTGTTTTTTTGCCAGTGCCATGCTTTTTTATCACAATAGCTTTGTAGTACAGTTCCAAGTCAGAGATGGTGATGCCCTCTGCCTTGCTTTTGTTGCCCTGAATTGCCTGTGCTATTCTGTGTCTTTTCTGGTGACAAATGAATTTTAGGTGTATCTTTTTCTAATTCTGTGAGATATGCTATTGCAATTTTGATTGGGATTGCGTTGAATCTATATAACAATTTTAGAGACAAAGCCATTTTCACTGTATTGGTACAAAGAAGACATTTTTGAGCTCGTCATAGTCCAAAGCAACCCCTAAGAGAAATGTCAATAAGAATTTATACTGTCTAAATAAAACAGTGGTAATCATCGTAGTTCCCTAAAGCCCAAGAGCAACTTGTATTTGCATAGAAGTGTATGCATAGTCACACTCAGTGCTGATGTCTTTTGACATTCCCCACCTTCTTGCTTGAAGGCATAACTCTATATCACCTTTGCAATAAATTGTATCTAACCTTCTGCATGGCCTCCTATGTATCGTGACTGAATTCTTGCAAGGGCACAAAAAACCAAGGATCAAGGAAGTGAGACTTCAGGTTTTTGCTGCTTCATGACCTGGCTTCCTGGTGACAGAACCTTTATGAATTCTTAGGATTCTTCCCTCAAGAATGGCTTAATCCATTCATATGATTAATGTGTTAAGGAGCTATCTTGAGAGTGGGTATGCTGTGAAAATCAGTTTGGCTAAGTCTCTTTTGGGCTCCATTTCTTGCCACGTGCTTTATTTCAGGACTCTCTATCCAGCAAAACTGCTGTCATCAGAGGCAGCCCCTTGACCTCTGTCCAGAACCAGTTAATATAAACCTCTTCTTTATAACTTACACAGTCTGTGGTATTGTTTCTAGCAATGGAAAACAGTCTAAGACACAGGGTGGGAGAATAGTTAAGGAGAATTGAGGCCTAGTTGGCCTCTTCTCTACGCGCAAAGGAGAAAGGCAGCAGGTTATGCCCCTCTGACAGAGATGATGGCATTGCTGGGTCTAGGGAAAAGTTAATACAGCTGAGATCAGGTTGTTTACTTGGCCATGTACTAATGGATAATGGAAGGCAGAGGACTCTTGTGTTACTTTAGTTGCCTGTACCCTTATTTGAATGAATAAAAGCAGGATGAGCCAGATGCTTGCCCAGAAGAGACAAGAGCCCCACCCTTGGCGGCCTACATGCTAAACTGACTGTGTGTCTTTCATCTTCGTTCACCACTGGCTCAGGGCGACAAACTAGCAGGACTAGATGCCTACAAGTGGCACCTTGGGTGTAGAAAGATCAGAGTGGGCTGGTTCCCCATGGGTGGTTTCTTGGCAGGGACCTGGGACCATTAAGTAGACCAATCTGCCACAATTCGTGCATGAATAGGGACATAGCCCAGGGTAGACCAGTTCACTATACTGTAACACAGCCCAAACAGGCTGATTTCAGAGCCTGCAAGTCTGAATAGTTATGTTTGGGTACTGAAGAAGTGCCTGAGTAAGGTATTGAAAGGAAAAGAGAATGAGACAGATTAGAGTGTGGCAAAGTTCTGCTGCTTGGGAAGCAAGTGTGACCTGTTAATTATAATCCCCAAGACACATGCACAGACAGTTCTGAAAACCCTGCATGTGGACTTCTCCCAATCTTGAGGTTTTTGATAAATGGCCTAGACCTCACATCAACCTGAGGTGTGGGTGGGACAGAAAGACGTCACTATGTTCTCTCCTGCATGATGGTGCACCCACATACTGGAAGGTGTACTTCTTTTCCTACTTTTACTTGTCCAAAACATGCTCTGCAGAGCCTGTTTCTTTTCCTACCTTTAGTAAAACATTGCTAATCATCTAGAAACCACTTCCAGGAGACTCTAGCACCTCAAAACCTAGTAACAGAAGCCACTTCCCTATCCTGGAGCTGGGCTTTACAGGTGATGGTTGACACCCATAAGGTCTACACCAGTTCTTCTGTGGCAGGATAGAAAAAGAATAAAAGGTAGAAAGGAGATAAGAAAATCGTAACTAACAACTATGCCTCATAAAAAAACCTGCAGCTTCCAGGACAAAGCTGAAGTTACCCAGGCCATAAATTGACTCAAACAAGAAACACCCATGTAGGAGCCTGCTAGTTTGCATATGTGTAAAGGCTGCAGGCAAGGTCCTGGCCAAAGGAGTTACAGGCATCCAGAACGCCAAGTCAAAGACAGAGTCAAAAAGGTTCAGTAAAGGTGGTGTCAGTGACCAAGGCCTGCACCTGGAAGCTCGACCAACAAAGGCTTTATTAGATGGGCGAAATTGTCTTGCCCAGAAATAAGATATCCATACCCCATATAAAGAATGTCTTCGTTGTGTTTTACTGATAATTTAGCAATTTGTTTTTTTGTTTTTTTTTAAGTATAAAAGTCCTAACCTGAGACTGTCTTTGGCTCCCCCTCCCAGGTTCATTTGCCCGGAAGCTACTTGCTTTTGCTTTACAGTAAACGCTGCTTTCCGCTTTCTCTCTGTGATAAACCCTAGCAATGGAAAACAGTCTAAGACACAGGGTGGTTCTGTACCTTTGTGCATGTCCTGAAAATTCTTTCTCTGCGACAAGACCCAGCGAACCTGCAAACCTATTTTAAAACGGTGGGTTAAGTTCTTTATTTCAGCCTTGGAGACCAGACCCAAACTGGTGACACTCCCATCTCCTCTAGCCGGGTTGTCTCAACAGTGTCAGCCCATCTCCTCTATCCCAAAGTCAGCTTGCTGGGGGCTGGGGATTTAGCTCAGCGGCACAGCAGCACAGCGCCTGCCTGGCAAGGGCGAGGTCGGTCCTAAGTTCGATTCCCGGTACCGGAAGAAAACAAAACAAAAAAAAAAAACCAAAAAAAAAAAAAAAAAAAAAAAAAAAAAAAAAACAAAGACAGCTGCCTGCTTCATAGCCCTACGTCAAGGAAGAGAGCTTGAATTTTGCAAAGCCGGGAGAAACTTCTTCCTGACAGTGCAGGACAAAACCACAACACTGCCAAAAACAAAGATCATGCTCACGTTCGAGAAGGAGGCTTCCTGGAATCACTACCTTGGGTATCCACCAGCATTTCCGGGCTCGCACAACTAGTTACACAACATCCTTTGCACACCTCATCTTGTCATCTTCCCTTTTATTAAGACCAGAAAAATAGTGCATAAAGAGAGTATAGAGAAAAGAACAGAACTAGTTAAGAGCATACGAGCATGTTAGACTAGAGCCTGTTCCTCACTCAAAGGTCCCCCAGCACCCCTCGCCTCAGTTCCTGGGGCTTCCTCGCTTTAGTGCCCTCTTAGCCCGGAAGCTAGCTCGCGACCCAAGAGCAGATTAGAAAGGTGGAAAGCAACACACACAACCGCAAGAGGGCTGCAGGACAACTCACGCGCTGGAAAGCCCCACTTCCCAGGCCCCTTCGCAGGGGGCGGAGCGTGGGCGCCGCAGCCAATCGTCGCGCCCGCACGTTCCCGCGGCCCCGCCCCGCCCTCGCCGGCCCCGCCC